CCTTTACCTTTCATTCGCATCTGCCTATAAGGAAATGGAGCCAACTGGAGCGCTCCACGTGCCACGGGCTGACCACTCTGCCTCTCTCAGATGAAGGACGAAGGACGTGTGTGGGCAGAATCTAGATTCTCCTACTACTCCGGCCTCTTCCCTCTCAGAAACCTCACTGGCAGCTCAGACGCAGACCAGACCCCCTTAATAGGGGCATCCAAGATGGCTGTGCAGCCAGGCCTTTGCCACCTCACAGCACAGAGAACGGTACCGACCAGCACGCTGGGGAAAGTAGCGGGAGTGGGCGCGGGTCAGAGAGAAGCAGCATCGGCAGCCCGTTCTCCACCCGCAAGAGCAGCTCTGAGTTGAGAGGCCTCTTCTGTGCCCCACCTTGTTCTCGGCACTGCAGGCCGAACTGCAGCGCAGGACGCAGAACCTTGAATCTACTGCCCGTTGGCTCTACTTTTAAAATCCCCCCACGTCTGCAGTCTAACCACTGCTCACCGCCACTCCGATCCACACTGCCATCATCCCATTTCGATCACTGCGTTGGCTTCTTGGGTCGCTGTGGTCCTTCCCTCACCCTTCTTGTCTCTTCGCCACACAGAAACCAGAGTGATCCTTTGATGAGGCCAGAGCCCATCACTGCCCTGTCATGGCCCGTCCTCACCTCCCCCATTTCACTCAAAGCCAGAGCCATCACAGTGCCCCTGAGGCTGTCTGCACCCCAGCCTCCACTGGCACTCTGCCCACCGTGCTGTTGCAAAGAAGGTGCCAGGGCAGCTCTGGGAGAGAGTCACTCCCAACGCAGGTGGGAAGGAGGCTCCGAGGGCCCCAAAGGGGTGTCAATGGTTTCTGCCCTTGGGAATTCCAGGGTCAGCTGGGGCTAGTTGTTGTTGGGGAGTCCTCCACATGCAGGATGGAGTCTCTTCCTCCTCCCTGCCTATGCTCTGGAATAGTGGCCTTGACTGACAGCGGCCAAGACAGAGGTTTTGTTCACCTTGTTCCCTGCTCTGTTCCTCAGCGCCGCTCAATAAATGTTGACTCAAGGAAGAATCACAAAGAATGTCATTGAAAACTTACATTCCCATAAAGCCTTGCCATCTGGAGAGCTTTGGGGCACAATTCCTGATGTTCTAAGCAGTAGGGCCTCATATGCCAGGGGAAGCTCAAAATGAGATTCCCCATCTGCAAAAGGGTATAATATACGAAGAGCCACTTCCTCACAATCTTGTCGACATGGAACATCCAAACCTGTAAAGATTTTCTGAGTTTATTTGAACCCGAACTGACAATTGTTGCAAAGCAAAATCTGAAATGCTCCAGAAAATGAGTGTCACAGATTTTTATTCATTTGAAATTAAGGAGGAGACGGAAAGCAGATTAGATGGAACGAGAGAAAGCAAGGTGAGGATTGCATGACAGGGTAGAGAACGAGATTATGAGCTCTCCGGATGGCAGTAACCCTTGTTTCAAAGGTGTCTTAACTCAGATGCACAGCATCAAGGGACACGGCTGGTTTAGGGCCAAAATAAGACTTTTACTAAAGTTATAGGCCTGGGGTCTAGCTACCCGCTATGACCTGCCCAATTAGGAATTTATGGCCTGATCACCCTTACTTTCCCCAGAAACCCTTTTTCATTCACAGTTACAAATATTAAACGAAAGGATCCCTCAAAAGTGCTCAGACTTAATCAAGTTCCTATTGCTAAGTGCGCTGCCATTTCACAGATGGGCAGATTGAAGCTCCCGGGTTGGGATTTATACATTCCCCTCCAAATTGGGCGGTGGCGGCGGTGGAAGGTGGCCTGGGGCCGGACACTACCGCTTTCCCCGTCCGGGCCTGGGTCACTAGCAGCCCAGGTTAAGTCCCTGGCACCTGGGAGGCGACTCCAGGGGGCGCTTCCGCCCAAGCCGGAAGTGCGCCTCCCGGAACTACAAGTCCCAGCAGCCCCGGCGGCGCGTCCGGGTCTATGCCGGGGGAGCGGCCGCCATTGTCCGCGGCCGAGGTGAAGCGGTCGTCCTGGCGGTGGGGGCCCGAGGTTCGGGAGAACGGGCGGGAGCAGCAGCGCCTGCCACCGCGGCTGGCGCGGCGCCTGGGCAGGTCCGTCGCCCGCCCTTCAGC